ATGTTAAGTAGTCCAGGCTGGCCTGGAACTCGCAGCGGTCCTCCTGCCTCAGCTTCCTGAGTGCTGAGATCACAGGCATGCGCCTCCACGCCTGGCTGTGTATTTTCATTCGATTCTCTTAAGCACGGTAGTAACTGCCAGGCAAGTTAGCGAGCAGTTGGTAACCCCCTCAGTTCCCCGTCAGATCACATGTGTCGCCTTTCAGTCACTGTTCTCTCTCGAGTCGGTTACCTGACTTTCTTAAGTGTCTGGGAGTATTACTTAGTCGACTTGGTCTTCTCCCCCATTTGTTCAGACAGTGAGAAGAGCAGAAGCAGTGCTGACACCTCTCAGTGTCTTCTGTATCCTCTTGGAGGAAGCTTGGCGCGCTCTCGGGGATTCAGTACCCTCCCGCAGACCGGCTGGGGAGCCGCCGTCCCGGCCTGCAGCGCTGCCCGCGGGCCGTCCTGGGCCTGCGCAGCGTTTCGGTGCCCACCTGCGGCGCCCGCGGCCGACCGTCGAGAGCGCAGCGCTGTCCCTGCCCGCCCGCCGCCTCGCTGGCACCGTCTCTGCGGCGGGAGCAGCGCCCAGGGCCCCACCCCAGCCTGTGGTCCTCGCGCCTGGTCCGCACCCCCGGTGCCCGCGGGCACGTGCGCGTCCCCCGCCGCGGTGTGACCTCAAACCCAAGAGCTCTGCCAAGAGCGACCGTGCCAGCTACGGTCAAGGCGCAGTTCACGTGCCTCTGACCCTGGCCGCCTTAACCACGGCCCCGGGTGTCTGGTCGTGAGGCAGACTGACGCAGCAGTCCCGGGGGGCCACCAAGCCGCTCCCTGCACTCCCACCGAGCCCGGCCACGCCTGCCGCAGGCCACCGCCCGAGGCCTGCCCGGGGAACTGGAAAATCCCCCGAGGGGAGCCCTGCAGTGACCTCTCCCGCTCCGTGAGCCGCGCAGAGGGACAGGCTGCACCCGGGCAGGTGTGAGGGCGCGGCTGGGGAAGCAGGTGCAGACAGCCCACGGCCGCGGCGCCTGTCACCCACGCTCTGCGAGGCCCTGTAGCAGCCTGGGCAGGGGCCTGGGATGTAGCTCAGCGGCATAAGCGCTTGCCTGGCAAGCCTGAGGCCATGAGTTCGATTCCCGGTACAAAAAAAAAAAGAGAGGCCTGGGCACGTGCCACGGTTGGAGGGCAGTGCCCCCACCCTTCGACGGCGCTACCGCCCCAATCCGTGCTGGTGTCCCAGCCGCGTGCAATGCGAGTGCGACCCTAGGAGCCTGTCCTGGAGCCCCAGGGCCCACAGTGACGAAGCCATAGCTGCGAGGAGAATTTATTTCTTCAGGAAACGTGAAATAGACGCGTGATCTATATTGTATTCATTTTTTTTTTATTTTTATTCACGTTTTAGCGTATAGTGGGCACATTGCTTGTGGGCATCAGCGCATGCGCAGAACACACCATGATTCTGTGTTCAGCCCCCGCCCTGCCCCTCCCCCCCATCCCTTTCCTGTTTGAAAAAGATCCACCGCTTTACTTTCTGTTTTCTGTCTTCTATTTTGCTCTTTACACTTTGGGTTTCTCATATAAGAGGAACCCTGTGATATTGAAGCGAGTGTGTCAGATGTATTTCACTTAACACTGTCTCAAGGTGCACACGTTTCCCTGCAGATGACTGCAGTTTATGGCCGAGTAGTACTCTGTGGTGTGTGAGTACCACATCTTCTTTATCCATTCCTCAATGAGTGCTTGAAAGCTAATTCAAGATTTTGCTGTTTCTTTTTAATACTTAGTTCGTGATTTCGAGATTTTGTACCTGTGAGCTGGAAATGGTGGAACACGCCTGTAATCCCAACACTTGGGAGGCCGAGGCAGTAGGCTCACTGCAAGTTGAAGACCAGCCTGGACTACACAGGGAGACCCTGTCTCGAACCAACAAACAAAGAAGAAACTGAAGGCCAGAATGCGATTAGTTTGACTCTGGTATGGACACTAGAGGGAAGATTTGCAATAATATTAGCAAGATGAGTAGATTTGTTTTTTATGTGTTTTTGAGAGTTCATTGTTTCATGTTTCTTACATTCTTTTTTTTTTTTTTTTTCCTTTCGGTCTTTTTGAGACAAGACCTCGCTGTGCCATTCAGGCTGGTCTTGAATTCACTTTGCAAGCCCAGACTGGGTTTGACTTTGCAGTGATCCTTCTGCCTCAGCCTCCCAAGTGCTGGGATTACAAGTGCAGGCTACCGCGCCCGGCTCAACATTCTTTATCGTTAATAGACATTTAAA